ACAATCCGTTTAACTTGTCGATCCTTATTCTAAAAGGTTACTAATTCAACACTGTAATTAGATCTTTGAATATTGTTTTTATTGGTATTAATATTGATTTTGTTATCAGTAAATTAAAATCAAACTAAATATTATTTTATATACATATGCGCATTCATGTCTCTACAATATGCCGATACCTGTATCTTGGATATGTTTTTCTCTGTCTGGTAATGACGTCTTTACACTTAATCCATTGGATGGTGAATGTGTACTGATTGATATTTTAGTCTTAGATGCATGAGTTTTTTATTAGTTGTTATTGGCTTTGAACTAGCTGTCAGTAACTGCGATGTATAAGTACCCTGCAACGTCCACTCTGTATTTTTTTTACATACATTATTGTTTGTATCCATCTGATTAGTTAACCCTTTTTCCACTGATTTTTATAGTTTGTTCTTATGTTGTTCTGTTACACCACAGTCCCAGGTAACGGGAGAGTAGAGCTCTCACAAACATGTTGAATCCCGCAACATTATATAATATATGTGCCTGTCCCAAGTCAGGAGCATGTAATTGAGTGGTTGTTGTTTGTTGCTGTTGGTCATATGTGTTGTTTATTTATTGTTTTGTACAGTTCTTGTATTGTTCTGTTGCACCACTTCCAAGGATTAAGGGAGGGTTGGGCGCCCGCTGACATGTTTAACCACGTCACATTCTGTATGTGCCCGTCCCAAGTCAGAAGCCTGTAATTCAGTGGTTGTCCTTTGTTTCTGTGTATCATATGTGTTTTACGTTCATTATTTTGTACATAAATTAGGCTGTTAATTTTCTTGTTTAAATTGTTTTACATTTGTCATTTCGGGGCCTTTCATAGATGTCTATGTGGTATGGGTTTTGCTCCATGTTGAAGGCATTACGGTGACCTATAGTTGGTAATTTCTGTGTCATTTTAGTCTCTTGTGAAGAGTTGTCTCATTGGCAATTAAACCGTTTCTTCAAATTTTTATATTTAAATTATTGATATCGTTCAGTTTCCTCATCTTCTACAATTTGGTAAAAAAAAGTAAAACAACAAAAATAACGAACTCCAAGGAAAATTCAAATCGAAAAGTTCCTTATCAAATGGCAAAATCGAAAGCTCAAACACATCAAACGAATGGAAAACAACTGTCATATTCCTGACTTGGTACATGGTACAAATTTACTTCCAACAGTATTAATTCATTCCCAATTCACCCATGGTGTATTTTACTTTTGACTTTAATAGTACGGCAGCTTTCTGAAAAATTGTGCACATCCTGCTACAAGCATGAAATTTAGCATAGACCTTCCTCAACTATTACTCTTTTATATCAGATAGGGAGGCATTTGACTTCCGGTAAAATCCAAAATGGCGGACATCATACTTAAAACAGCCCAATATCGATGGCTAGTATGTGAAAAGGTGTTATTATCAAGGTACTATCATCATAATATTTGGTACAAACCTTTGTTATGTACTACTTTTGGATATATTATATAGATTAGATGTCTTCAAAAACCCTATTTCCGGTAAAATCGAACATGGCGGACATTGTTCTAAAAGAAGCTTATTTTTAGGGAGGGTAATTGAAATGAGTTTTAAAGTATTGCTTCTATCATTATATTGTGCAGGAACCTTTCTTTAGTGCTTCTCATGGATACAATGTATAAGACATATGTCTTTAAAACCCCTACTTCCGGTGATATCTAATATGGCGGACATAGAAATATCAAATTTTTATTTAGATATTAAATTTTTTTCAAAATGTAAAGAAAATGTTTTTTTTGTGCTGGTCATTTAATTTTTGGCTTTAAGTTATCCTCAAAACTACTAATTCTATTCAACTGAAAATGTTTAAATACAAAAAGTTAACACTTCAGGTAAAAAAAAACAATATGGCGTAAATTTCAAAGATGAGTCCTCAATCCATATCTTCGATGTAGAGTTTTGGATAGATTGATTAAAACAAAATAAAATCACTTAAGTACTAAAACATCTTTTGAATTACTAATTTATGGCCGCAAATACATGTTTATTCACAATCGGAGAGCTGATTTTCCACATTTACAAAGACCGTTATATTGTATTTTACATCCAATGTACAAGCTCCTGATAAGATGAAGAGGCCTCACAAAGAGTTCTCCAAAAGGGTTCCCATGGATTATATTTTTCCCTTCGCCATTCATAAGCGTCTGGACTAGTTCGCATTGGAACCAATTCAAAGCTTGTTACTCATTCACACCCGCCATGGTATATTGTACGTTTTACATGCTGAAAAAGACTAGACCGAGTCGTGGGAATAACCTCAATAAGTCTTTCCTCTTCCAAAAACACATGTTTTCTTGCTTCGTTAATCCCATCTGAAAAATTTGTTCGATCTTACAACAAAACCACGTATCGTTTTATCAATGACATTATCAAATCCATATCTGTTGATGTTGGCTGATCAATCATCATTCTAAATGATAAAGTCACATCTTCAAACGCCATCCATGTCACCAACGCAGTTCCTTTCCCAGCAAACGTGGAATCTCTCAATGCCTAGTGCATTTGAAAGGTCATGGATAGATATATATCTAAAGCTTTTCCCACTTCCAAATGCAAGCCAAAGTTCGTCTGCTCCTATGTCACGGAATAGCGAAACAGCAATGACAACAACATCAGTATCGACTGTTCGAGTCATGACTCAGTAAAGTCTGTGTTTCACTGCATCAGACACATGCATCTTGATTCTAGTGTCAGCCTCTTCATGTGAACATGGTGCTAAACTGGAAACATCATCATGTGGGGGATAACACAGAACATCCTCAGTATTTGTTGCTACAACTACCTTTTCCTCAAAATCTATTGAGCAATCTGCTGTGAATAAAAACTATAAAGTTCTTTCTTATTGTCGTCATCTCTCAGAAAACTTTGCCAATTTTGAGGAATTTGTTTTGACCCTGGATTCGCCTGTGTATTCCCTTTCCCCTAAATGTAGCTCTTGCTTCTTGTAGCAGCCTGTAAACTATCGGTATTGTCTATGTACGCATCCGAGACTACATCCACTGTTGTTACAGTTTCAAGGTGTTTCATAACGAGTATGCTGATAGGGTATTATGTCCTTACCTAAAAAAATACCTTAACACTGTTACAGGAGTGGATGAAGTCTTGGATGCGTATGGTAGTTGTAGCAACAAATGCTCAGGATATTCTATCTTATCCACCACGTGAAGTATTTCAAGTTTAGCACCATGTTTGCATTAAGAGGCTGACATTAGAATCATGGTGCATGTGTCTGATGCAGTGAAACACGAACTCAAACGAGTCATGATTCGAATAGTTGTTACTGATGATGCTGTCATTTCTATTTCGCTTTTCCGTGACATAGGGGTAGACGAACTATGGATTGTGTTTGGGAGGGCAAAACGCTTTGGATAAATATCTATCAATGACCTTTCAAATGCACTAGGCAATGAGTGATCACACAGACTTATTGTGATCCATGCCTTAACCGGTTGTGATACGGTTCTATGTTCGCTTGAAAAGGAAAAAAAAGACTGCGTGGGAGACATTGATGGCATTTGAAGATGTGACTTTAACATAAGGAATGATGATTGATCAGCCTAAATCACCGGGGTTTAACTGTAAGATCGCACAAACTTATCAGATGGGGTTAACATGGTTAACGAAGCAAGAAAATAACTATTTGCGCAAAAGGGAAGGCTATTTGAGGCTTTTCCCTCAACTTCGTCCAGTCTTTTCCAGCATGTTAAACGTGCAATATACTAAGGCAGGTGTTAAGGGGGACGAGCTTGGAATTGGCTCTTATGCTACCTAGTCCAGGCGCTAATGGATGGCGAAGGGACAAAGAGGATCACTTTAAAAAAAAACTCTTTCTGAGGCCTCATCATTTTGTCAGAAGCTTGTACATTGTGGATGTAAGAAAGGATGCCGTGGTCGTTGTTAATGTGGAAAATCGGGTCTCCCGTGCACTGCTTTATGTGCATGTGGTGGTGACTGTGAAAAAACATGTATTTTTGGCCAAATAGTAGTAATTTAAAAAATGTTTTAGTACTTTTATTAGTGATTTTATTTTGTTTTAATCAATCTATCCAAAACTCTACATCGAAGATATGGATTGAGGACTCATCTATGATATTTTTTTTACCGGAAGTTTTAACTTTGTATTTAAACATTTACAACAGAATAGAATTAGTGGTTTTGAGGATAACTTAAAGCCAAAAGTTTAAAGACCAGCACAAAAAAAAAATTTTTCTTTACATTTTCAAAAAGTTGAATATTAAAGTAAAAATTTGATATTTCTATGTCCAACATTTTGGATATTACCGGAAGTAAGGGTTTTAAAGACATATGTCTTCTTATACATTGTATCCATGAGAAGCACCATAGAAAGGTTCCTGCACAATGTAATGATAGTAGCAATACGTTAAAACACATTTCAATTACCCTCCCTAAAAAATAAGCTTATTTTAGTACAATGTTCGCCATGTTGGATTTTACTGGATGTAGGGTTTTTGAAGACATCTAATCTATATAATATATCCAAAAGTAGTACATAACAAAGGTTTGTACCAAATATTATGATAGTAGCATGATAATAACACCTTTTCACATACTAGCCATCGATATTGGGCTGATTTAGGTATGATTGCCGCCATTTTGGATTTTACCGGAAGTGAGACATTTTTTTCAAATGCCTCCCTATCTGAAATAAAAGAGTAATAGTTGAGGAAGGTCTATGCCAAATTTCATGCTTGTAGCAGGATGTGCACAATTCGTCTGAAATATACTTGTAGCCGCTACACTATAAACGCAAGTATTGTACCAAATTGAATGTATATGTCATTTATTAAGAAAATCGAAGAATAATTGAGGTATGGATTATTTGTAGAGATGAGACGAAATGTATGTTCATAAAATCATTGATTAAAAAATATAAGGGATCCAAAATAGAATAGAAATGCATATAATGATGCAGATCTACAATACGATACATTGGTATATATCTTTATTACCGTTTTCAGTACACATTTCATTTTCATAAAAAATAATTTTACATAAAAGATGACCTGCATATACATGTACTTTAATGATAAACCAACCAAACAAGAAAACTATCAACATGGTTTGTATTTGATTTGGTTAAAATTAATATTTACTGATATTTGGTAAATAATTGTTACAAACGAAAACGGAAAATATTACAATGTTTGTTTCTTTCTCATATAAGTTTGAATGTTTGATTTTTGTCTGAAATCTACGTCTAAAAATCCTTGATCATGTATTTTTCATTAATATCATCATATACGTGCTCGCTCTTCCTGGTAGTAGGCTCATCTTTCTGGTTCCTCCCATTTATAGTAAAAGACCCTTTTTGTAATCTTGGGAATTTGAGTTTTCTGTCGTTAAGCCTCTTTTTGATCCAATCCTGATTTCTCCACAGTGCTATAATGATTATAACCGTGGACCCAATGGTGGCAATACATGACATGTATACCACGACAGAATTGCTCTGTGAAGAACCTTTAAAAGAAAAGATTCACAATTCTATAATATAGGTGTTTTACAGCATCTATTGTTTGAATGATTTATTTGTCATGTAGTGAATCCTTACTTTTTTAATCAAGTGAAAGAGACAATTATCTTTATAAAGGTATATGGCCCGTTATTAACCATAGAATCAGAAAAGTTTGAAGTGTTACAAGTATCAATAAGTTATTAAATTAAATAATTTCGTTTTCAAATTTTTCATTTGTGTTTTTTTTTTTTGCTTTAGGTCAGCATTTCGTTAGTATGTTTTACGTTTAATCAATGATTAAAAACCTTATAAACGATTTTCGGACTGTTTCTTACTATATTCATAAGACAATAAAAAAGAATGTTGGTTTTTATAGGATTGCAAATAACTCATTAGAACCTCTCATTATGTTTTCATTGTTCAAATACCTACATATACACTTACCATCATATCGATTTATCCCTTGTCCTAAGGGGACAGTTTCCTTTGCTACAAAAAAAAAATATATGAATAATATACGCACATGTATACTGATTCGAATAGTAAAAAACCTTTACACTGCTTTTATAAAATGAAAATAAATTCACAAAACCATCTACCTATGTTCAAGGAATTCTCAATATATTTGAAACTGCAAACCTAGAAATAGAATAAACCGGATGATATTTCGACAATCCAAATCCAATAGATACACTCTCAAAGAGCAATAAAATATATACAACTATGCGGTATGGGCTTTGTTCATTGTTGAAAGCCGTACGATGACCTATAGTGTGTAGAGTTGTCTCATTGGCAATCATACCACATCTTCTTATTTTTTTAAAGATATATGTTTATACTTCTTTGTTGACATATTTGTTTGTTTTTATAGTGATTAAGATTATAACACTATGTTGACTGCTGTATAATTGTTCAATACACCAAAAGTTGTCAAACTATTTAGAAAATTCAATTTAAATTAAAAAAAACAATGCATCCTTTTCTCCGTTTTTTCGTAAAATCCTTAAATTTATAAACCAATTTCACAATGTTTTAATTGACTGCATCTCTAAAAGTATAATAGATACATACCTCTCTTTTTTAATATCCAGAAGCAGATCAACTAGTTTTAAATGCATATATAATTTCATCAAATCAAAATCTAACGCTCATTTATATTCAATACTTTGCCTTGAATAAACTTATATCCCATGCAATCGGCCATTATCCTAAATCGGAACCACGCTTTCAATTGATATTTTTTTTTCAGTTAAGAATATTAATCAAGACGTTTCTGGCGTTTGCACATGAATTCATCATAGCAAAAAGTTCAAGAAACACTTTAAATAAAGGCAACAGTAGTATACCGCTGTTCGAAATTCATAAATCGATTGAGAAAAAACAAATCCGGGTTACAAACTAAAACTGAGGGAAACACATCAAAAATAAGAGGAGAACAAAGACACAACAGAAACACTAAAATGCAACACACACACAGAAACGAACTATAAGATAACAATAGCCATTTTCCTGACTTATTACAGGACATTTTAAGAAAAAATGGTGGGTTGAACCTGGTTTTGTGGCTAGCCAAACCTTCCGCTTTAATGGCAATGTTAAGTATAACACTAAAATGAGAACATTACATGACAGGACTACAATACAAATAAATGGAAGAACATACAGGATAGAGAAACACACAAATAAACAATACAATAGAACATTACGACAAGCTAATAGTTATCAAAGGATCCAGGCCTAAAGATGAAGAGCATTGATGACCTAAAATTCCAAAAAATTGTGCCAAATACGGCTAGGTTATCTGCCTGGGATAAGAAAATATTTAGTATTTAGAATAATTCATCTTTTTGCAAACAGTAAATTTATAAAATATAAAAAAGACCATATAATTGATATACATGTTAACACGGAAGTGGTGACTAACTACAGAATAAAAACGTATACGTAAAACAACCTAGATCAGCACATAAAAACAGCACAGCCGAACAACGAATTATATGTCAGCTGAATAGATCGACGCACAAAAAATTGGATAGAGTTCAAGATTAGGTTTGTAATACTGATATTACATATGTTTAATAACAATGAAAATTACAATACTTTTAATATAAAATTGTGTTAGTAATTAGATAATTAATTGTATTATCTAGCTATGTCGGTATTTCTTCTAAATCAAACTGAAAACCAAATACATAGTGTAAGTTTAGTTGACCCAAACTAAAATCTTATAAATGAACTGGGTGATAAATTATCTTTACCCTCACACACGAATAGAACAGAAAAAGTAAGAATTACAACTACAAACGATAAGACATTTGACAATAACAAATATAACATGTATTATTTGTTGTATTCTTAAACGTACCATAATTTTTGTATCTGATTTACAAGTGGAGGGTGGAGTTAACTTGTGGTATCTGATTTACAAGTGGAGGTTGGAGTTAACTTGTGGCGTAGCGACAAGTTAACTCCACGCTCCACTTGTAAATCAGATACAAAAATTATGATACGTTTAAGAATACAACAAATGATTTGTGACTCGGACCGTTCCGAGTCGGCCCGAGTTTTTCTAGATCTACGACACGTGGCTTTTAAAAAGCTCCGCAAATGAAAATCTTGTTTTTTGGGGCGAAAAATTTTTAAGTGACCACATGGCAAGCTGATGCGGACATTTAACTTGAAGATGGAAGAGCCAGCAGATTGCGGAATGAATGTAGCAGAAATTGACTTTTTGGATGTCGATATGGTTGACGATGTAGATGACTTAACTTTGTCACAAAATTGCCAGAATGTGGAAAATGAATATCTTGCATTTGAAGGGTTGCAAAACCTAACGTTGACTCAGACATTGCAAAACTACCAGCAAGGTAATATCGCCATAAGTTTCCACTGCCCAATTCTGGTATATAACGCCCGTCAATTATTTTCAGTAGTTTTGTTCAATTTTAAAAAGCAAAAACCAAAAAATAGCAACACCGGCAGTAATTTTATCATTCTAACCAAACGAACACACCGCTTGACGTGGCATATTACAATATTTTATTGTTACAAATTATGGTTTCATGTCGCCAGTTAATCAATATTAACCTAACAATTCAAATTTACCTATGTAGAAATTAAAGGAATATCCGTTTTAAGACTTATTTTTCCTGAACGAATTTAGGGTGACGAGGGTGCGTTCGAGTGGTTAGATTTTGTTATCATTGCCCACATGAACTCTACCTTTGATTTGTGTGTCACAATATATATATATTTTAAAGTTTGCAGAATAAATTTGTTAAGTACAATAAAAGGCCCCCTTTCTGGTGCTGTAAAACTTTTTATGCACTTCAGAACTTGCGTTTAACTGTTTCCATAGCAGGGGCGATTCCATGTTTTTTAAAAGGGGGGCGTAATTCAATAAAACGGATTATATATCGCTGAGCGGAGCGATGCGAAAAACGTTTTGGACGATTTTATGATGAAAAAATCATATAAATCGTGAAAAACATGATATAATTAATTTTTTTTGGCGATCAAAGGGGGGTGTACGGCCTCTACGCTCCCCTCCCCCTGGATCCGCCACGGCATAGGAGCACTAAGGCAGAAAACCAATTGCGCCCAATAGTTACTAGAATCAGACACTCCATCTTTAAAATATTTTATAAGTATATACAATTATAAATTTGAAAAATCGGATAGATCAGGTCAAAATATGGGTCATTTTTTAGGCCAAATAAAATTAAGATAACAATTTTATCCCCTCCCACCCCATAAAATGTTCACCAAAAAATTATCAGAATCACCACTTTTTTGCATTTTTGAGGAAAACTTCTATTTTTTAAAATATATGTCTAGGTAAAAAATACAAAATAAAATAATCGTCCCACCCGCTCCTATTTTTCGACAGAAGGTGGATGAAAATCTATAAATTTGGTCACTTTATAATTTTCGCCCCCCAAAAACACGATTTTAATTGGCGGAGCTTTTTAAAAGCCACAAGTCGTCGACTGGGAACGGTCTGAGTCACAAATCATACTTTTGAATTTTATATACTGGGAGTTACTGCAGTTGTACACTGAAATCATATTTACGGATAATGCAATTAAAGCATGTGAAACAAAAGTTCAGAATTTTATTATGGAAACAAAAAATCATTTCGAAACAAATGTGGCGGGTTTTTCGAAATATTTTTCATCGAATAAGTATTTTTTCGAAAAGTTAATAATTAAGTTCAGCTGACAAAAAGCTTTTTTTTCGAGGAATAAACATCCAACTTTTGTTTTATTTTTGCCTTTATTAAAAAATATTTACGTTCAATCACATGCGGTTTTTTACACAGCCTCTAGGGTGCGTTTGATTGATAAGTTGTAGAACATGGCCGACTTTATGTAATAAAATAATATCCGTTTCAGGAGGATTGGAAAACGGAACAAGTTCGATACATGCGCATGCCGTCATATTTTTTTAACGTTTTAGTTATCGGGATTAATATGGAATCTTTTGAAATTTGAGACAAAATACAGCTTAAGTTAGATTTTCGTGTCTTTCTTTTTTTTTTTACTATTTCCGTTCTTGACTTCGTAAAAATTTTTTACAGCAAATAAACTGACTCCCAATTGCTCAATGAATATTGCAACATTGACAGGAATTTGTGTTTTAAACTCCTGGTTGATAAACTGGTATTGAACTGACAGAGATCTAGAGTTAAATTTCCTATTGGATATTCCTAGTAGAGTTCCTATTGTATTGTTGAACAATACCCATTGTCTACCTATTGCGCAGCTCGTCACTGTATTATACCTTGGAGAACTCTATCACTTTGATTAAAACACAGCTGTGGAGATTAAACACGCATTCCTCGGTCAATGTTGCAATATTCACACATTTTGGTTATCTGCTGAAAGTTTCCGTCACAGTCTGTAGTATTCTTTAATGGCAGCTCTAGTTCGATTGTGTGGATTTTAGCTGTTGTGATTCGTAATTTTCGCAAGTATCCCTCGATATTATCGTATGCAATTCAAACATCGGGGGCAGATCCAGCCATTTTTAAAAGGGGGTTCAAACACTATAAAAAAGGGGGGGGGGGGTCCAACCATATGTAACATACAAAAGGATAAGTTGTCAAAAATAAAGGGGGTTCCAATCCCCGGGATCCCCCCTGCCTGGATCCGCAACTGAATATTGGTGGGATTTTCATTTTTACGCATTATGTTTAGACAAGTTTTATGTTGTAATTTAGTAAGCATATATATACTTATTTTATTCCCTGGAAACGTAATCAACTAAGGCATAACTTTTTCAGGTTTTAGACTTTGCCAAATCATGATTTCTTATCAAATGACTGCTGCTGTTGTCGTCCTATTGTCTTATGTTTAAGCTGTACATAAAAGGAGATATATAGTAGCAAATGAGACAAAATTTAATATACAGCACTGGAACAGCGCTTTAATTGCTGTTATTCATTCATGCATCAGATATTTTTAAAAAGGCGAGGTAGCATGCAGTGC